GCGTTGGGCTCGTGGGCCAGATGTGCTCGGCTATTAAACACGTGTAGCAGAAATTGTAAGGATGAACAAAGCCAGTAATGAAATCAAATGTCCATGCCAAATGCCTTTGACTTGCAAGATTGCAGGAGCAGATTTCTTTTCCCGTGATGCATTGCTTTGTAGGGGCTTTGTGCCCGCGGGAATATTAATGACTACTAGTTGAATTATCGACATGCTACGTGAGTTTTTTTTTTACGGTGTAAAACATATCTTTCCTTTTGTCTGTTTATATGCTCATAAATGTGTGAATAAAAAGGGATTTTGTTGTTTATGTGATATGAGAAGGGTTGGCGTGCAGATGGAGGAGGCACTCACAATGGTACTCTAGGACACACACACACTGACGCAAGTCTACAGTCGAAACAATTACGACTGTGCCCCTTTCGATCCAATGATGTCACAATTCCGCTCTTCCTATCGGGTTTCGGATCAACACCGTTGGCTGCATTTCAGGTCTTCACACAAATGCTCTGTTCTAAAACTAGTGAAATGTCTACTGAGACAGTATTATTAGGCATCATGGGCCCATTTTTTTTGGCTAAATACTAAGGCAGCGCCACATATGTCCTTCACCGGAAAAAAAAAAAAAAATCTCATAATGCATTGTGATGAGCTCAGTGAGATAAATCCAAGATGGAAGTATATAAAGTAAATAAATGTACAGTAACTTTCAAAGGTTTGTGGTCAGAAAGATGTTTTAATACTTTTGAAGTCTCTTATGCTCACCTAGGCTGCATTTATTGAATCATTAATACAGTAAAAACAGTAATATATGCAATTTACAATTAATTTAATTTTCAGCATCATTACTCCAGTCTTCAGTGTCACATGATCGTTCAGAAATCACTCTAATATGCTGATTTTTTTTATTATTATTATCAATGTTGAAAAAAGTTATGCTGCTTATTAATTTTGTGTAAACAGTGATGTATTTTGTTTTATAAGTATAAAGTTCAAAGGAACAGTATTTATTTGAAATACATGAATATTTAGAAAATTTAATTTTCGATTGGTAGTGTATTTGATTCCAGTAATTAAAAGTAAAAAATGTGTGATTAAAATTTTATTCATAATAATTTTGCATTGAAGACTAAACACACAAGTGATTCAAAAGAGCTTTATGTGCGTTTCACTAAGCTTACAGTATGATACTCTAATGAACTTAAAAACACGCTTACAAATATCTAATTTTAAAGGTCCCCTGACATGGGGTTATTTTATTATTTTATAATCTTTCCTGGGTTTCCCTTATAATGTTAGTATGCTTTTTTTCTAGTTCAAAAATAGTTATAATTTAGAAATAAAAGTGTTTTTTTTCTAGCCGGATTTTAGATTTGAACGCTTTGTTTAAGGGGCGTGTCTTTTGGGATTCAGTGGAACCGCCCACTGCTTTGATTGGATGACATGCCTGATTCAAGATCAGCCCATCTGAGCTTGCATTTTCTCAAAGGCAGATTGATATGGCTAGCCACTTGGGGACCATAACTTTAAATTTTTTATTAATTAAATTCCACTAAGCTATTTTTATTGATGCTCTTCTACATCAAATCAAGATTTCTTTGTGCTTATTAACGTTTTTGCACAATACATTCTGGGATTTTTTATTTTTTATTTATTTATTTTTTTTGCGAAACTTGCAATGCTGCATTAAAATTTGACCAAAACTAGTGATCTTCTTCCTGCAAAGCTAGCATTTTTCATGTTTTGGACCAGACCTATAGACTCCTCATCAGGGAAGCTCATCAGGCAAACCGATAATGATCGTCTTCTTCACCACAGAGTGAAAGCCACGTTTCCTAGCATTAGTGACGGTTCGTAAAAACATTCACGCCGAGTCAACTCTTTACGAGGGGGTCGGATTGGATTGTGTGTTTGGCTGTTCAACCATGTCCGTCCTACTTCATTTTCAGTTTCACTTTTCTGGAAACTCTCACCGACTTTTGGGTTTAATCTAATCAGTATCTTTGTCAGAGAAACACTGAACAAATATGGTTTTAGGCCGTCGGCCAGGCGTAAGTGGTACACATCGTTCTGATTCTAATACGGAATGCTGTTGCTGTTGGCACATACATCCAAAGTCCTTTTTCCTTTTGGTCCACATGTGGATCCCAGCACATGGTCATCTGGTCAAAGCCAGAGGTGTACTTTTATCCATGAATGAATAAGGCTGTTAGTTCTGTGTGGAATTGACCATTTCATCACCAGCCGAGACTTGGAGCTGTGCCCTCTATAAAGAAACAAAAGGTAGATCCCAGGGGTTGTTTTGTTGAAAAGAAACTACACATATTCACAGTGATGTCAGATTGCTCTAGGGAGGCAAAGAGAAATAGCACACTGAATACAAAGACTTGGGTATCAAAATGATGTTATATTGCTGCTAACGTTATGATATTTGCACTTGACACTTTGTTAGTTTGTTGATGTTAAAACCATGTAACCCAAATGGATGGAAGTCCAATATGCAATTCAAATACATTAAAGGTGCATTGCACAACATTTCACGTTAAAAATAGCCATTTTTCTAACCTGACGTCATGCGCATTCACGCTAACCTGGCTATGACTGGCAGTTTTGTGTATTCGCCGCCATTCTCCGTATCAGCGTAGACAACTCAAGCGACAAAACTTTGGTCAACTTTCGACAATATTAAAATATGGATTCAAAGAGACCGGCTTGTAGTTCATTCCAAACCCCAACGCAAACTCCACCTAAGAGAACGAAAATAAAACTTTTGTCTAGTGCCAGGCGTCGGAATAAGACGAGAGTCGACATCAGGAAGACTTTCAACAAATGCAGAGATCTCCGGTCTACTCTAGGGCTCAAACGGGATACTATACAAAGTAAACACTTATATTGTTAATGAACGTGTTTCCATAATAATAATCATAAGTGGATACAGTAAACACATAAAACAGTTTAACATAGAGATAGATAGAAACAAAAACCTGAACGTTTTCCCCTCACACACACATAAGTGTGTAATTTACTCAAATGCCTTTCCTTTCATATATTTAAAATGACTTGCAGATTTATAACTTTAATACCTATGAAGACTTGACTTGACTCGGTTGCAGTTTCGCTTGTCGCCAGAGGGGGCGTAGTTCTCCAAAAACTCAGACACTTGCGCAATGCACCTTTAAGGCCTAAATATTTGTTTTTAATCTATATTGGTGCCGTATCGGCCAATTTTATGTTGAGTTTTATCATTTTGGTTGATAATAGATTGTATAACATGCTCATTTCCCCAATATCTGTCCAGTATTATGAAATAAACGGTCCTTTTTTTTGGCCTGTAGCAGAGCACTAGCGAACCAATGGAAATGGCTTTTGCTCCATGTTGTCATTAGTTATCACCTACTCCATTTTCCAAAGTATTTCTGTCTCTCATTTTCTCTCTCACCCCTGGTATCCCTATTGAATTCTTGGCCTGTAGGAGTGTGATCGTGGCAGCAGTGTCAGTTGTAATTGAAATCACATGCGGATCACCTATCATAGTGTTATTATGATTGATCAGGTTTTATGAAGACGTACGAGGGTGGTGCCATGCGGTCAAGGAGTGTCCTTAATGCATTAGTTGCCCTTGAGACCTCATGCAGTTGTTTTTCAATTCAAAAATATTGACTGCCATTGTTGCGTTTCACCTCCAAGCCAGAAGGGGTGCTGTGGTTTTCTAAAAATATTGTTACTTTTACTGTTTAATTCTCGCATACGGTTGGGGGACTGTTTGGATTTTGGCTCTTAGGAAAGACAGTTTTGTCAATGCCATAGTCAAAAAAATACAAAAAAATCTTGCTTTTTGGGGAAGAGTTGTGTGGTTTTTTTCCCCAACTCCCGTCTTTCATTAGTTCCAGATGTGTGCCATTTCTCTCTCTCTCACTTCCTTTTTCTTATCTTTGTCTTTTTCCCCTCCTACATCCCATCCCCATCTGTACACACACTCACGCTGTATATTATTGTGGTTGTTGTAGTGTGTGTTGATGTTAACATGTCAGAGAACAATGATGGCCAGTGTTTTAGACTGAGTGATTGTACAAGAGGGGGAAATAAAATGTTTGAGCTTGTTAGGTCTTCTATCACACACACCAGTCTAGTATTTTCTTTGACTGAACATCTCTTTCTTTTACTCTTTATCTTGTCAGTGTATCTCTTCTGTAGCTTCCCCTATAAAAGTGCTGTGTTGTGGTATGGCACAGCCTTTATTTTTTTAATGGTTTACAAGGCTATTAATGTTTGAGATTGACACAATAATATTCATAAATATAAATAATTTTATATTATTTATTTGTTTAAATGACTTTAATATATTTATATATATTAGGGCTGTCACATGATTAATCGCATCCAAAATAACAGTTTTTGTTTACATAATATATGTGGGTGCACTGTGTATAATTATTTTATATATATAAATACACACATGCTTTTATATATTTAAGAAATATTTTCATGCATATGCTATATATAGATTTATATATAATTTATATTATACATAAATCTAAATATTTTATATCGAAATTAAAAAATTTTCTTAAATGTAAACACAAACTTTTATTTTGGTTGTCATTAATCGCGATTAATCGTTTGACAGACTTTATATATATATATATATATATATATATATATATATATAAAACATGCCTGAACAGCTTTAAAAAATCCTCTTTTTTATGACACCATCTTTATTAAATATTAATTTGAAACTGAAGAGAACCAGGAGCTGGTTTATGTCTCCTGTCAGTGGTTCTGCAGCATGCAGACTAAATAACTTAAACATCTGCAGATGGAAATCCTGTGTGTGTGTGTGTGCAGTATGTTCACCTGTGGGGTAATGCATTAACCTGCTGCACTAGCTGATGGCATGATGCCCAGGTGATGCAATATAGTGACTGTATACTCATATTGTTCAGACAGGTGATGATGGTTGTAACAAACATATTTCCTCTGTGTTTCTCATTCTGCAGTTGAGGTACCAGCATGGGCTTTCCACCCCGGACCTACGTCAGACTTTACCCAACCTCAAAAACTTCCTAGAGCATGGACTACTTGTAAGATGGTGAGTTATATACCATTATTATTGGTGTTTGCTAAGCTGTGGACATAAAGTAAACCTCCATTTGTGATCAGAACACTGGCCAAAAATAGACTTATTTTAAATGATGGACCCAAGCCATATCTAATAGGCTTGGGAGTTGGCTCTTTTGACTTGGCAGTAACCACCTAGCAAAAACCCAGAACATCATAACAACGGCATAGCAACATTCTGGCAACTACTGTACTAAATCACAAAGTGCTTCACAATAAAAGAGGAATACATAACATAAATAAATACATTAGGATCCAAGTAACCAGTGCAAATATACATATACATATACACAGATACATATATATACATACACATGCATATTATATTTATCTTTTTCATAATTCCTATTTTTCTACAGAAAATGTAAAAATATCCATAAAATGTATAATTATTTTCTATATTTATATTTGTACAGACGTTATACAAATATTTGTGTTCTATATTTGTTTTCTATATTGTCTTCTAATAATAATATTCATATTTTTTATATTTTCTTTTCATATTTGTACTTAGATTTTTTAGAAAATGTAAACATATTCTTTCTTCATTTTCATATTTTCTTTACATATAGTCATACATTTTCAGAAAATGTGAAAATCTTGTTTTTATTAATGCCTAGCAAGAAGCTATTTTTATAATTATGTTTTCGAACTGGTAAATCCTTATATCTAAAAGGTTTATAAACAGAACATTTGCTTTCTAAATCTGGAAACTGTTGATATGCACTATGAAGTAACCTAGCCAGCAACAAAATTAACATTTTTTACAAAAGTGTATCCCTTTAAAACCAATGGCAGTCAAAAACACACCGCTAAAAAAGCCTTTCTTGGTTCAGTGATAGATAAACCGTCTATCTAAACGTTAATTTAATAATCTGTGTTTTGAAAGGAAGGAGGCCAGTGTAAGTAAAATGCTTCAGTAACCCCCACCACACCCCGCCCCAAAAGTAAATGTTTAATGGATTGTGGAAACGCTTAAGATGGAACAGATGAAAGAATGACCTTTTGACCTTTTGAACTGTATTGGCAGGAAGTAAAGGAGGAAGTGGAAGTCCGGTGAACAGGCGGTTGCGCTGCGTGGCTAAGCGAACCTGGAGGGCAGTCGTGTTGACTTGACGGTACGCTTAGAACCGTGAAAGAGCAGTTTCCGTCTCCGCTGGGGAGGGGGGGCCGTGTACACAAACACAAAACTGCAGAACATTCCTTTCGCCATCTTCCTTATACGGCCCCGCGGCCGTAAACCATAACTTACAGCACGTTGAGACCCTCGAAGAATCATGTTACGTTATACAGATTGGCGGTCTGCTAGCGTTGACTCCTGAGTGAGTCAAACACGAGGTCTAGACTCGTTCTCCAACTCTCTGGATCCAGAGCTGAAATATGAAACATAGAGTAAATGGATTCTTTTATTTTCCGTTTGTTGCAGACTGCTTTTATTACCCTTGCATCCACTTCCTCCCCTCTCAGTTTAGATAATGTTTCCAGGGCAGGGGCCAGAGATGTGAATTATCGGCGCATAAAAACCTGCGTCAGGGCAGCTGCAGGAGGTCCTAAGAGGGGAATCGCACGGGAAGAAATGGGAATGGTGGGAGTACTGCACAGGTGTACCATGAGAACTTCTGGGGATTCAGAGGAGTTCATTTTGGGAAAATATGAAGATTTATTTTGCCCTTCTTCCTTAATCCCAATGGACGTTTATATAGTAAAGGGAGACGGTGGAGTTTTCGAGACAGGCTTAATGAAATTGTTTGATCTTTTCAAATTTGTTATATAAAAAAACACATACATTGTACATCGCCCCCGATGTGTGAGCGAGTGTGTTCTGCATTTCTAACAACTGAATTTCTGAACAAGAGGTTATTAATATCTGATCCTTTGGCAGAACCGTTGGCTCAGATACCTGGACTCGGCTCAATTTACAGACTGGACGATAAAGTAAAGCTCTTTTTTCAGGGAAAACTAACTTGTTCCATGTTTTTCTGAATAGTTTTGGGAATACGATATTTGACACTATTTAAACATGGCCGGAAACAAAGGAGTTATTTGGTAAATGGTGACTTAAAACAATCAAAATTATTAAAATAAAATTGTACTCAATTCCTACAGAACTTGTTTAGCAAACTTTTGCTGAGAGAATTTAAAACACAGTAAATGATGCCTAGATGATGTTCAGTATGAACAATGCTGATTTGCTTCCTTTCACGTCACACTTGACCCTTAATGGTAAGATTAAAGGGTTAGTTCACCCAAAAATGAAAATTAAGTCATTAATTACTCACCCCCATGCTGTACCAACCCCGTAAGACCTTCGTTCGTCTTCGGAATTGCTTCGGAATAGCGAGAATTGCTATCTGCTTACACTACTTCAGATCGCAATTCTCGCGCATGCGTCGTGGAAATCTAAGGAAATCTCGTTTCTGGCCTACAAGGAAGAAAAGAAATAGTCGAATAAACTCATTACTTTTGTTTGTTTTTTCGCACAAAAAGTATTCGCGTCGCTTGATAAACATATAGTTGAGCCACGGTAGTCACTTGGGATATTTAAACATTTTCTTCATTGACTTTCTGGGCCGTCAAGAGGCAGTCCCTTAGGCAGCCAATGTGGTAGTTATACAGCTCTCAAATTTAATCAAAAATATCTTCATTTGTGTTCCGAAGACGAACGAAGGTCTTACGGGGTTGGTACAGCATGGGGGTGAGTAATTAATGACTTAATTTTCATTTTTGGGTGAACTAACCCTTTAAGTAAAACATTTTTTTTTTTTTTTTTTTAATTTTTTTTTTGAAGATTTGGGTTTTTGTCACAATAGTGTGGGCATGAAACGGAAGTTGTGATCGTCTTTTCTTCCCTATTATGATGTTTATATGAGAGAAACAGCTTCAAAATGGGCCTTGATTTTGTCCACTGGCAATCCAACCACATTGTGGTTTGCTATTGGTCAATCTCATGTGAGTGGGAGGTTGTCCCGCCCTCACACTAGTAAACATGTCATCAGAGAAGAGAAGAGATGTCGCTGCAAGTGGGAGAGGGAGTTATTTTGATTATGCAGGCACATTAAATTACATTTGTAAAAACACTCTTTCTAAAAAATCTAATTTTTTTTTAGATTTGTCAATTTAAAAAAATGTCACATTAAATAATGTTTGCTCAAGTCTATTAGAAATGGCTGACCAACAAAACCCATGCAGAATCTGTGGACTTTGCATTTTCTGATCTGCTTTTGAGGAAAATGTAGAACTTTGTAAAAGACAGGCACTCCTGTATGTTGAGCTTTCTGTGGGTGCAAATTGTATGCAGATTGTGCCATATCTTTCAGTTAGTCTAAAACGTTGAGTCCTGTCGGACAAGCTCAGTCTGCTTATCTCACATCTCTAACTGATCCTTTCACCATCCTGTTGCTGATTGTCAGCGAGATTCAGTCCTCTGGAGCCATAATCAGTTTCATGCGTTCTGGCGGTTTCCATTTCGAGCGGGAACGGTCTGAGATGCCAAGTAGGGAAGAAGAGCAAAACGACGAGAGAAAAAGTCACAGTTTAGAACAGTGGATGGAGTATTAGAAGAAACAGAGAGCGAAGATGGTGAAAGGCAGACGGGGAGGGTGCAAGACATGGTGCCGCTGTGTTAATGGCGTGTCCTGCCGAGTTCAAACCGAATATGCGAAACATTCTCTTATTTATGGCTCAGGACTCTGGCAGCGCTTTAGAGGTCCTGCAGCCCCACTGTGGAGCTCTTGAGGACGGGTAAAGACAGGAAGGCGCAGGGGGGAGTGTGGAAGTGAAGGGGCTGATGTGATTTAACACCCCAGGATGGAAGCTCTAGGGTGGGGTTGGGAGTTCTGAAGAACCTCCTGGAACTCTGGTGAAAGTGCAACACTAATAACCCATAAATCTTCATCTTTTTATCTTTTTCAACCCTTCTTGTTTTTCTTTGGTTCAAATCTAAACCCCACCCACCCAATTTAGCCTATAGCGCTGGCCCAACTTTACAAGCTCCACCCATCTACAGTAAGTCCTAAAACTTGGCACCATAGGTGGATTCTTTTCCATTCATTTTAGAGCATGATTCATCAAGCAACTGTTTTATTATAGATTTTCACAACACGCTTTTGCTAATCCAGTATATAAATGCCTGTCAAATAGTTTGAAGGAAGGCCTGACTCATTACAAACAATGTTTTTAGATGTCCACCCATAGTAATCCCTTAATCCTGGGTACACTTAGAAATATAAGTCCTTTCAATGTTAAAATACCTTCTATTATGCCAGTTTAATGTGGACAACTTTAAGTTAACCAATCTTGGTTGAAACACAGGTGTCTCACATAAAATGATACATTTATTTTGAGGATTCTAAAGAATTGGTGCAAACTGTTGTCCCACAACCAAAAATACATTTAAAAGGTTTTAAAAGGTTTAAAAAGATCCTTCTATCAAATATTGAATCCCACAATAATATTTTAAAAATCAGTTAGCTTAATAGATATATAAAATCATAATTTATTGAGTACTTTCAATTAGGATTTGGCTGTCCCGAACCCTAACCACTAAATTTCAACTTGCAAAAATTATATTGAAATTTTTTTTTTCGTCTTTATTGTTGTTTTTGAAAAAAAAAAAAAAATCTTTTGTATTTCTTTTAAAAAGTGAAAAAAAAAAATCTTTTGTATTTCTTTTAAAAAGTGAAAAAAAAAAACACATTTAGATTTCATTTTTAAATCATGAAACATAATGTAAAAAAATGTGTCCCGCATTTTCTTGTCACTACCAAAACTGTGTTTTAGTCCATTGGCTGAGACTGATTTTAACCACACCCCTACATTTTTAATCAGGAAATATTCTTGTGTGCCTCTCTCTTTCATTGTAGATAGATACCATCATTTTGAGGGAAATGTGTTCAAAAATTCAAACTAATGAATTCTTAACTTTGAAATCAGTATGATTAACTTAATGCCTTTAACAAAGAAAGATTGGATTCAAAATACAACAAATCTTATAAATTACACTTAAAATAGTGTTACAATTGTAATAGTTATTGATTTACCGGTGAAATCTTTTTTTTTTTAAAGCAACAAAAACAAGAATTTACGAAGTAGATGCAAACAAAATATTCACAGGTCTCCTTATTAAATTAATTGTTTCGGTAGTGACAAATTTGCTGACACACGAAAGATGTTCCGAAAATTTCTGAAAATACAATATGATAATTGAACTGCACAATTATTTGAAATGTGTACCTTTGTGGAAAATTTGTGGAAAAATACACATTTTTAAGACGTTTCCAACTCTGACTTTGAACCAGTTCTGTAGAATGACCCATAAACAAAGTAAACACACACACATATCATTTTAATATATATGTAAATATATATACATTTTCAGTTTTATATCAGTTGCTGCTCACAAACAAAGTTATAGGTATTGAATAAAAGTGAAGAAATCTTGGAACTGTCCAGACAGATTTCCACAGTGGGATGAAGCCGTCTCTGTGAATAATGTACTGATAGGTGTTTGTACTTACATCTGGTGGAGCGTCCCTCCATAATTCCATCGGCGTTCCTCCAGTGTTCCTTTATTCTTTACAATCCTCTCAGCCATCCCGCCAAGAAAGCATTCCGATCACAGAACCCAAAGCAGACCCCGGTCGCCATGACAACTTCAGGCATCATACTAAATTTCCGGAAACAGTCTCCATAAAATCTCCATAACATGCAGGATGTGTCGTCGTTTTGAAGCATCATCACTGGTCCGTATCCAGACAGGCAATACAGGAAACAATTTGTCACCCCCATAAACAATGCATTTTCATGTCAATAGGTAAATTAGCGCAAAGGCATTTGTGGGATGCTCCTTGACTCTGAATGAAGACCAGCCCTGCTATAATCTGAAAAAGATGCTTTCTCAGTTTCCAAAAAGAACAGAAAATGTCCTATTTCATTTTCCTACTCATACCCTCAAGCGAATGAAGGAACGCTGCTCCGCTCGCTTGCAAAGTTACATTCTCTCTGAAATTTTCTGTTATATTATTGTAATTAAATAATCGTCAATTAAAATTTTTTTAATTCTATTATTATAATTACATAATCCATTTTTATATAATTTTTATAGTTCTAAAGTGATCTGAATGTCTATGTATTTGTTAGTGTGTTTTTACGCGGACATATTTGCCGGGCCGTTAATGTAATGTTTGTAGAAGAGGTGTAAGGTTTAAAGCAAACATTATTCAAACTATCTTTTTTTTATTTATCGTCGTCCTTTTTAATTTATTTTCACTTCTCACCCAACTGTGGAGAATTTGTGGTTTCCCGAATTCCTCCTGGGTAGTTTGAATCTGTTTCTCGTTCCAGAGTCTGTTTCACAATAATACACACACCGCCGCCACCGTTATTCTTCCACAGCCCCTCCGGTTCGCTCTCGGACCACCACCCATCCTCACACAGGAAGCCCTGAGATACGTTCCCTTCTCTCTGCCAATGGATGGAAGGAAGGGGAGGGAACAGCCTAATTGGCCAATATTAAAAGTCAAATTTAAGTCCAACAGAAAAAAAAAAGTGCTGCATGAAAAATATTATGACGGTTCTGGGAGATCAGTCTGGCATGCTTGAGCGCAAAAAGCCCCCTCGTCTTCTGTCCCGACTCACACCAGCACACATCGGCCCCTTGCTCTTGATTAAGGGTTGCGGTTTGACACATGTTTAGAGGAACTCATTTATAAGAGGAAGCACTGTGTAACAAATAGCCTCCTGCTCCAAACAAAAAATGCTTTATTTTTCCCTGCTAGGGGGGCAGGGGGTGACGTCTAAACACTCGGATAGATGGAGCCCATATGTTTTACATATCTACATAACACATGCATAAATTGGTCGTATTAAAGGAGTAGTTCACTTTTGAAAACACTTTTGCTGATAATTTACTCACCCCCATGTCATTCAAGATGTCCATGTCTTTCTTTCTTCAGTCGAAAAGAAAATAAGGTTTCTTCATTTTTCTCCATATAATGGACTTCAGTGGGAACCAAACGGTTCAAGGTCCAAATACTCCTTTAAGATATTTAAAAATAACCAGCTGTATATATATCATATATATATATATATATAAATGATTTTAGTCTAAGAGATGGAGTTCAACGACAAGTCTTTAGTTGACACGTTTTTGAACGCCACCCTAATGCTTTGCAGATACTGTACATCTGACTGCTGTTTTCAAGTGCTATGGTTTTGCTCACAGTAACATTTCATTTGGACCATCTCTCTCAATTTCACATCTGAACACTGGATCTAATTACGTTCTGAGTGGTCTGCAAGAGTGCAAGAAGAATAATTTGGGAAACCCAATATACGGTACACGACACGCCGTGGCCAACCGTTAGATGTTTGTTTTCAGTGAACTGATGAAGAATTTGGGAGCATGTTTCTTTGCTTATTCTTGGTAATGAAATTCATTGTTGCGGTTGGACAACCTCAAAGCATATAGCAATGGTTCCTGTCCAGACACACAGGAATAAAACCGCATATTTCTCCACCACACATACTGTAGGGCTTTGGGTGAATATCCTCACTGCTGTAATGAAGACACAAAGATTACATTGTGTATCGCCAACAATTGAAAAAAAATCTATGTGAAGAAATAGCAATAATCCATAAACATGTTATGTTGAAACGAGTGGTATTTAGTATTTATTTCAAAACCTTTTAAATCCATTTTTTTTTCTCTCAAATTGTTGATTTTTTTTTCTCATTGTGAGACTCACGTTTTATGTGAGTGTTAACAGTTTATCTACATTTATCCATCCCCATGTCATCCAAGATGTCCATGTCTTTCTTTCTTCAGTCCTAAAGAAATGAAGGATTTTTCTCCATATAATGGACTTCAATGGGAACCAAACGGTTCAATGTCCAAAAGGCAGTTTCAGTGCAAACTACAAACTGTTCACAGGGCTTTAAACGATTCCAAACGATGAATAAGGGTCTTATCAAGCGAAACGATTGCTCATTTAAAAAATAAATAACAAAGTTTCAATTTTATAAGCTCAAATGCTCGCCTTGCTCTGTACTGCGATGTACGTTCGTGACTCCCGTTCGAACTCGTTTATCAAAAATCTTTTTCCGAGTCAATTCGTTCGTTGAATGTATCAATGGGGTATTTTACCTTGAGCCTGACATGCTATTATTTTTTTCTTAATGTAAGATAACTACACTGTTTTAGCATGTATAACTTCGTAGCTTGTTTCAGCTCTCTGAGAAGGATGACTAATCTTATACAATTGTTTTACTTTCTAGATGCCATATTTCAGATGATGTATGTAGTCCAACAGCTGTGTGTGTTTTAGGGGGGTGCGAGTGTATTTGTTTGAGTGTGTGTGTGAGGTTGAGGATCAGAGACTCTTGCTGAGCTCTCCCAGGCTATGAATGTGTGTACATGAATTATGAGATGATCCATCAGCAACAAAGAGCTCCTCTGACATCAGCATCTTCACACTCTCGATTTCTCGCTCTCCCGATTCTGAAGCGAATTAAAGGCGATGGAAAATCATAACCGTGTGCCTCTGTTTCTGTTCTTCTCTCTCAGCGACAGGCACCACGTCTCCATGTCCATCCCCGTCCCTCTGAAGTCTCATCTCAGCGTTTCCACCGCATCCGAAGTGGGATTTCCAACTCTCTCCAGTTCACCTGAACGGGACGTCCAGAAGCGGTCTGGCTCAGATGCCGATAAACGGAAATGCCGAACCCCTCCGCCGAGTTACAACACTACTATGGCGCAACCTGATCCCATGGCCACTCCGGAGATGCCATCAGCGCCGTCCATGGAGATTGCGAGCGTGGAAGTAGGTAAGACTGTAGAAACACATGGGGATGTGGAGACTGTTCCCGAGGCACATACGGAGAAACCTCTGGAAGTACCTACAGACATAGCCAGTACATTACCGTCTGACTCCTCGCCTCAGCACGCAGGGGCCATGAACGGCTCGGCCGTGCCCGGCGGGGGTATGGGATTGGGTGTCGCGAGCAGAGGTGAGCTGTGCTGCTCCGTAGAGCAGGCGGAGGAGATCATGGGCACTGAAGCCACGGGGCTGGGATTGGGATTGGGACTAGGATTAGGGTTGGGATTGGGAGGCGGCGCCAGACTGGACGATTACCCATGCATCCCGGTGGAGCACGCCATCGCAGTCGAGTGCGACGAACAGGTTTTGGGAGAGTTCGACGCCGCCGGGATCGAGGAGGTCTCGCGGCGCATCTATGCACTAGAGAACATGTCTAGCTTCCGACGGCCTCGAAAGAACTCTGAAAAATAACTGGGATGCAGGAAAAACGGGTCAGAGAGTGACGGGTGTCCAAGTTGGTTGGTGACACAAGGCTGAGCCTGCGTAATATTTCACCCTGACTGTAACAAGTATAGACATTGCATAAAGAAATATATTATTATTAATATTGTTATAATAATCATTAATATTATTAGGAAATATCTGGAATATTGACCAATTTGCACTTCTCAAAGCATTTCTATAATCCTTTAAAGTGAAATAAAGAGAATGTTTGTGGTTGAAATGCGTGTTGGACGTCTTTCTGGGTGAATGGATGCGCAGTCTTAATGGGATAGTTCACCCAAAAATGAAAATTGTGTCATCATTTATTCACCCGAACGTCGTTACAAACCTGTGTGACTTTTATTCCTCTGTGGAACACAAAAGAAGTCATGTGCAGGGCTCCAAACTTAATTATATTCCTTTAATAGTTTGTTTAATTTGTACAGATTAATTTAATAAAATAAAAAGATATAAATGGCAATATTAATATTTATTATCATTATTATATATTCATTTTGAACGGGTACCAAAAAACTTAAGTTTGAATGTGGCCTGAGGCAATTAATGGAGAGATTAAAAAAAAATAACAACTATAAATGGTTTTATATCCTTGTGCTCAAGCTAATATTGATCAGCAATTCAAAATGCTAATATTAAAATATTTTTAAAAGGTAAAAATCACTGAGATATGGAAGCTTGTTTCCGCCACTGAATAAAAATAAATAAATAAATAATTGCGACTTTTAATCTCACAGTTGCGAGATATGAAGTCAGAATTGTGAGAAATAAAGTTGCAATTGCGATATATGAAGTCACAATTCTGAGAAATAAAGTCGCAATTGCGAGAAATAGTCTTAATTCTGAGAAATAAAGTCACAATTCTGAGAAATAGTCGCAATTGCGAGATATAAAGTCGCAATTCTGAGAAATAAAGTCGCAATTGTGAGATATAAAGTCGCAATTCTGAGAAATAAAGTCGCAATTGCGAGATATAAAGTCGCAATTCTGAGAAATAAAGTCGCAATTGTGAGATATAAAGTCGCAATTCTGAGAAATAAAGTCGCAATTGCGAGATATAAAGTTGCAATTGTGAGGAAAAAAGACAGATTTGCGACTTTTTTTCTCACAATTGCTGGTTTACATCTCACAACTCTGACTTTATAACAAATTATTGCGAGTTTATATCTCGAAATTCTGACATCTTTTCTCAGAATTGTGAGAAATAAAGTTGCAATTGCGAGTAATCAGGCCAATTCTAAGGGGAAACTTTTTTTCCCCTCAGAATAGTTTATATCTCACAATTCTGACTTTACAACACGCAATTTCGACTTTATATCATGTATTTCTGACTTTATAATAGGCAATTGTGACTTTATATCTCGCAATTTTGACTTTATAACGCGGAATTCTGACTTTATATCACAGAATTCGGAGAAAAAAAGTCCGAATTGTGAGATAAAAAGTCCCAGTTACCTTTTTCATTTTTCATTCTGTGGCGAAAACAAGCTTCCATACTGAGACACTTTTCAGAATGTTACATTTCTGCTTTCGTGTTCCAAAGAAGAAAAAGTCATGCAGGAATGGAACAACATGATGGTGATTATATTATGACAGAATTTGTGAGTGAACTATCCCTTTAAATGCCACGCAGTGTTACAGCGGGAGCTCTGGACCACCCGGATCCACCTGAGAGCAAACCCTGATATATCCCAGGCCATGGGACGGCTGTTGGTCAGGGTGGGCGGAAAGGGCGAGGAATGTCCGCGTGCCAATGACACCCTTTCTCATGCTGACACACCCGAGTCTTGCCTCAAGAAGATGAAAAACATGCACACACATATTGCGCAAAGCTCCGTTTTTCCCAGTCTGACTGTTGCGAGACCTTGTATTGTTCTCTCTGATATCCTGACAGCTGTGCTTCACACACACACTTTGATGCCTTGTCAACACTGGATGTGAGTGGCACATCACCACCTAACAAATCTCAATAGCTCCTATAACCAACAAATCTGTCTACACTTGAAGTGTTCATTGTGTCGCATTGATGACGGCCCGTTTTCATTTTTGCACCCAATTCTCAAATGTTTTTCTTTTAAAGACTTTCGCCAGTTTAAATTTTGTGTGTGTGTGTGTGCTGTACAGCCACTCCAGCTTTGTTTCCCATCTGTTTAATGTAAAGAAATCGATTACATGAATTAATTAAAGTCATCTTTGGTTTTTTAAACATATAAATAACCTATACAAAGTAAAATGGCATACCTATGTGGAAACATGCGACATCAGAATAGACATGGTGTAAAAGATCTAGATTACCATGGGCTTAAATAACAGTTTAGGCAAAATCTAAAGGTGCTTTAATGTCAATGATCTTTCCCACTGTATACAGTTATTCAGCTATCAGAAACACCAAAATACTAATGATGTGCACTGTACACTGTTGAAGAGGAGCAGGATGGCCGTTCCTCTGTATTCAGTGCGGTTCTTTCTTTCTTTTTTTATCTCGATCATGGCATTAATCCTCATTGTTTTGTGTAGCACACTATTCTTCAATGTAATTTCCTCTAAAAACAATATTCATCCATCTGCACAACTTTTAAAAGCCATTTTGTGTTTTTCCCTAAGCAGTATTTAATTCTTATATTTATAATTTGGTGTCCTTTACTCTAATCTGCTTTTCAGGTATACACTAGAGTCCATAAGAATCACATCGTGAATGTAATAAACACTCTTAAGGAAAGGTCTACGTTGTCAGGAAGGACTAGTAATGGTTGACTTTTACATTATTTCATCCTGGCCTGATACCCTGTCTCTTTGAATGACTGTTGATACATGATGTATTTAAGACAACTACAAAGAAATGTGTTTCCATAAATTGCTGTGACACTGTACATATACTTTTGTATGAAAGGTGTTTTATTAAAGACCAGTTACATGATATGGCTTTGAGCATTTTTTCTTTCCACAAACCTCAATGAACTGAAGCAATGTTGTAAAGAAGAGTGGGCCAAAATCCGTTAACAGCGATGTAAGAGACTGATATCGTCATACAGAAAACACTGACTGCTAAAGGTGGTTCTACAAGCTGTTAAAGGGATAGTTCACTTTGAAATTAATTTTTGGCATGTTTTAGCTTACCTCAATTGGCATCCAAGATGTAGGTGTCTTTGTTTCCGCAGTAGTTTCAATTTTGTTATTTTTAGGTCAAACCGTTCTTGTCAGTCAGTCATATAATGGAGGTCTATGGTCACCACCACAAATAGCATGCACAGAGAAGTCCACAGAGAAAAACAATATAAATATTGTTCGTTTTCTCACACAAACCGCTCGTTTCGTGTCTTAGGACATCAATATGTACTTACATTTACGAGTCATTAAATCATGATTAACTTGGACTTCTCTGTGCCGACTCTTTGAGGTGGTGACCATAGACCTCCATTATATGACTGACAGATAAGAACGGTTTGACCTAAAAAATATAAAAATTGAAAATACTGCGGAAACAGACACCTACATCTTGGATGCCCTTGAGGTAAGCTAAAACATAACAGAAATTAATTTCAAAGTGAACTAAACCTTAAAATCATTGCACAGATTGGTTCTTCTAACGCTATGGCATTAACCAATCAGACATACTTCCTAATCCATGTAATCATATATTTCGTACCCTAGCCTGCGTTTGCCCTTCTATATTTGTATGTAGTACTGTATATTTTAGCACAATATAGGGTCATGTCAATTGATTACATTAATTCTGTTTAAGCCCTATAAATAATCGATAATGTGTGATTCTGTGGCAGATGTAATCATTTGGTGCTGTTGTTCTCACAGAGTGCTGCTACTTCAATAAATCGCTCTGCAGGAGACGCCTAATGTGAACACGACCACGGATAAACAGTGTTCTGTTTCCCAAGACAGAGGAGCTGTGGAGTGAAGACTCTTTCAGACTGGACAGTGTCCTTCTGGACAGCTAATCCACTGCAGGTGTGAGGAATTCTGGGATTGAAGGCAGATCTAGCAGTTAGCTTCGCTGGAAAATCACGTCACCCCATCAGAGAAGCAGGTGACGGCACTGCCACGGCAACCGGATTGCTGGAATGTGTGAATGTGAATGTGTCTGGTGTATTATTATGGGATAGGGAGACCGCATTAGAAAACTTTCTTGAACTCTTCATGCTGTCATGAGAGTGTCACTGATTTGGCTTTTTTGACTCTTTTTTGAGGTTATTTTCATCTCTTTTTGAAGGATGGGCACAGTCATGCTTGAGATTCAATAATATATATATATATTCTTGCATAAATTCCATGCTGAATATGCTTGACTGTAGATTTTGATCAACTAAAAACAGAATACAAAACAGTGCAACATGCAAAAATACACTATATAAAACAAAATATTGCAAAAGACATATAATGAAGCTCGTTTTTGTTGTTTAGCTTAAAGGGTTAGTTCACCAAAAAATGAAAATTCTTTCAGTATCTACTCACCCTCATGTCGTTCCAACCCCGTAAGATCTTCGTTCATCTTCTGAACACAAATTAAGATGTTTTTGATAAAATCCGCAAGCTTTCTGATCCCTCCATACCATAAACTGCAATATTATTAGCACTTTCAAAGTCCAGAAAGTTAAAATAGTCCATGTGACTACAGTGGTTCAACCTTAATGTAATAAAGTGACAAAAATACTTTTTGTGCATAAATTAATGATTTTATTCAACAATTTCTTCTCTTCAGTGTCAGTCTCTGATGCTGTTCCAGTTGTAAACGCGCTCTATGCCAGAACGGCGCACAAAAAGTATTCTCGTCACTTATAACATTAATGTTGAACCACTGTAGTCACATGGACTATTTTACTGAAGTCTTTACTACCTTTCTGGGCCGTGAAAGTGCTAATTGCAGTCACTTGCTGGTTCAGAAAGCTCCCGGACTTCATCAAAAATATATTAATTTGTGTGGCGAAGGTACGACATGAGAGTGAGCAATTAATGACAGAAATTTCCCTTTGGGTGAACTTACAGTACACTTTTAACTTCTTTTGCCATCTGAACTTCAAGAAAAAGACAAAAAATCTGTTATCTGACAGTGTGAATTTTATACGTCCATGTTTGCAGTAAATTTGGTGTGAAAACACCAAGAGACCGCCATGTTAATGCAATGCAGCTCCTCCTTGTTGAGTGTGTTCTTGATCCCCTGTATGTTAATTCAGCTCATTCGTGCACACTCTTAGAAAAAAGGGTTCTTTGGGGTTCTATATATGAAGCATAGGGTTCTTTACTCAACTCCAAAGGAACTTTTATGCTAAAAAAGGTTCTATAATGACAAGAAAGAACCCTTTTGGCACAAAGGTCCTTTATAGGTTATTATTCATTCATATATTACATTACATTATTCTGCAACATTTTGTAGTTGAAATTAAATTATTGTTTATTAAAAACTTAATATCACATTTTAATCATGAGATTTTTGGAGGATAAAAATTGAAATGTCACTCTTCACGATTAATTTTTTAACCCCCATATCTTGAATTTTGTGATCATTCACATGCATTGCATTTTAGGGGTTCCAAAAACGTAGCGCTTTAGAACCTTTTAAGGTTCTATATAGAACCTTTTCGTCTAAGAGTGTGTGTGCTGCAGTGAAATCAGTCCAGTTAGTGTGTGTGTCTGCTTTTCTGTTCCTCATCATCAGCACCTCACAAAAGCGTCCAGCACCCAATGGCCT